GGTCTGCGACCACGGACCGTCGCGCATGGAGAAGCATCGTACGGGACATCATTGAGGCAGGCTAGATCAGTCATGATCACAGCTACAACAAGTACAAGTACTAGTAAGTAGAATTGTCCTCTGGTGGGTAGAGGTGACTTCGATTGTAATGGGGGTACCCGACTCTCACCCTATGATCATACCACATACATGCTGGTTCCTCTGAATTTTTACCTCCACGAGAGTTGCCATTAGACGCTATCCCATCAGCTGGAAGCCTTTCAAATCAAGGCTCTTGAAGCGACGTGGCAGTTTAAGCATCCATGGCCCATCGACCACATTCGCTGCTCGTATAAACCAATGAGGAGATGAGGTGAGACATGGAAGAGAGCACGGTAAAAAAAGGAGAACGTACCTAGAAGACGCATGGCACGGAGACCCTCCTGGTAGTTGGGACCACCGCGGCGAACCCAGATGCTCACGGAGTGAGCACGCAGCTCATTCTGGAACTCAGTGATGGCACGAATGACGCCCTTGAAGGTGGCTGCCACATTGGTAAAATTGGCCACGCCTCCTCCAACCAGAAGAATCTTTCCTGTGTGGGGGGAGGGGGAGAGAGACAAAATAAATCAAGTGATCGAATGGACAAGGAAGGGTCAGGGAACAAGAGACGAGGCAGTGTGTGCTTGCTTTAGGTAAAGGTGGTGAAGTACGGCAGCTGGACACTGAAAAACCCTGCGTACTTCGTGATACATACAACGACCGAGATGTTTTGGTGGTTTTGAATTTTAAGGTATACTAAAACGTAAGCTATTCTTGAAAGCCATAAATGTCCTTCAAGTGGAAAGAGCCAACTTTGGATGGCATTTTAAAATGCAAATGCTAATTCAAAGAATCTGGCTGATGGTATAGACAAATACAGCTCAAGCAAACGAGCCTGCAGTCCAAATACGCCATTAACGGAATGCGAGGAGCCGGCGTGTGCGTGGCACGCGTAGACGATGAAGGCGAACATACGGCTCAAGCAAACGAGCTT